TATATCTTCCTGGAGGGCCAACAGAGAGAGAAAGCTTTCCCTGAGAACCAGCACCTTGAACTCAGGCTAACCTCCTGAACTGTGAGAAAATGTGTTAGTTAAAGCCATCCACTTGTGCTATCTGTCATAGCAGCACTAGATAAGACAGACAAAATTTAGTGCCAGGAATGGGGTGTTGCTTAACAGAGACCTAAAACGTGAAAAACAGTTTTGGAATTGGGTAACGGGTAGAGGCCGAAAGAGTTTTAACATGCCTGATAGTAAGATTACTATTAGGAGAAAGATGTGGCAGTCTGCTTCCATAAAGATTTACAACCTTGGAAACCCTGAGGCAAGTTCTACTCTGTCCTATAGGGTTGCTGTGAGTTGGAACCGTCTTAACAGCAGATGGTTAACAGTAAAAGCCTTGACTGCCTGGAAGAAACTTTTGGTAGAATTATGGACAAAGGTGATTCTAATGAGGGCCCAAAAGGAAGTAAGAAGAGTTACAAACTCTCCATCCTCTTAGAGAATATATATGGTGCCAGCAACACAATGTTGCTGGAAATGTGCACATTAAATATGCTTCTGGTGAGGCTCTGAAAGAAAATGCTGAGATTGTAACTGGACAATAGAAGAGTGATGCTTTTTATGCAGTGGCAAAGAACCTGTCTGAACTATGTTCAAATGTTTAGTTGAATGGAGAACTAGTGATCATTTGGGTATCTGGCCGAGGAAATTTCAAAGCAAGATCTGAAAGTGGCTACATGATTTCTCCTTGCTGCATATAGTAAAATTCAAGGAAAAGAGATGGACTTAAAAATGAACTGTGCAAAATGAAAACAAAACTTAAAAGATTTGGAAAATTCCATTATACAAAGTAAGGACACATGTCCTAGAACTTTCACCAAGGGTATGGCTACACAATCTTTCCTTACAGACATCATGCCTGTGGTTGATGGATCTAACCAACTACCACAGCAGAAAACGTATCAGCTTAGGCTGAAGGGGGAACAAAGAAGGAAAGAATGCTGTCTGCCTCTTGGAATTCTACAGGCAGGAGAACAGGCCAAAGGAGATACATTCTTGTCCTCCAAGAAAAGGACAGGACCATCCCTGGAGCAGCTCAGAGAGCAGCAGAACCACTGGAAAGAGTACAGGAAGGAGGGCTGCCTCAGTTTCAAAGAGTTTTTGGGTTTAGCAGATCTTCACTCAGTTCTGGAGTGTAGAGATACCATTCAAGAGTGTCAGTGGGACAGAGCTACTGCCCAAAGTTGAGGGGGTGGGGCTGCTACTCAGATAGACTCAGAGAATGGGGCCTCCTAAAACAGAGGGACCAGAGTTGCCATCAGTAGGCATGGAAGGTGGAACTGAAGCCCAGAGCCAAGGGGCCGCCACTCAGAAAACAGTGTGACCAACACCCAGTGTCTAGAGGACAGGTCCATTGCCCAGATGATCCCAGATTATTTTCAAGCCTTGAGAACTTACAAAAATTGTTCTGCTGGGTTTTGGACACATAGTGCCTGCTATCCCTTCTTTCCCTCCAATTTAATGGAAATGTCTACCTGTGCCTGTAGTTTTGGAAACGGGTAACTTGTAGTCTAGATTTCACAGGTTCGCAGATGAAGAGGAATTTTGCCCCATGATGGAATATGCCTTAATGTTTCACCCATATCTGATTTAGGTAATGAGATTTTAGGGAGCTCTGGTGGGGCAGTGCCTAAAGCATTTCACTGCTAAACAGAAGGCTAGTGGTTCAAACTCACCAGCCACTGCTCGGAAGGAAGATCGGGCAATCTACTTCCATAGTGATACTGCCTTGGAAACCCATGGAGGGGTCACTATGAGTTGGATCACTGACAGCAGTGAGTTAATATTTTGGACTTGGAATTAAGACTTCTGGGATGATGGGAGGATATCTGGTGGCTCAGTGGTCAAAGCATTCAACTGCTAACCTAAAGGTCAGCAGTTTGAATCCATGAGAAAGATAGTCAGCTTTCATAAAGATACAGCCTTGGAAACTCTTTGGGCCACTTCTGCTCTGTCCATAGGGCTGCTATGCAGTGGAATCGACTCGATGGCAGTGGTATTTAGTTATGGGACAAAGTGATGGGGTAAATGTGTCTTGCATGTGGCAAAAATATGAATTTCTAGAGGCCAAAGACTGGAATGTTGTGGACTGAGTTGTGTGTCGTCGTCCCCCCCCAAAAAATGTGGTGTAAATCCTAACCGCTAGACCTGTTGTTATACTACCATTTGGGTATGGGTTTTTTCTGAGATACAAAAAAGATTAAACAAACAAGAAGCAGAGATGCCAGAGGGAAGAGAGATGCCAGGCCACATGAAGATCACCCAGGAACAGAAGCTCAAGAGACAAGGGCCTTCCCCCAGAGGCAACAGAGGAAGCCATTCTCTATATTCAGTGCCCTGAATTTAGACTTCTAGCCTCCCAAAGTGTGAGAAAATAAATTTTTGTTAAAGCCATCCATTTGTGGTATTTCTGCTATGCAGCACTACAAAAGGAACTCTATTCAACTGAATTATTAGACAAGAGAATGACATGCTCTTCTGTGGGTGGCTTCTACTCAGCTTCTCAGCTCTTCAGTTGATGCAATGCAAAAAGGTAGGTCCACTGTTGCCAGATCATCAGATCATTCAAAAGATACCAGAATTCTGGATTTTCATGTGAATCACCTATTTTTTGAAAATGATGGCATCTAATTCAAAATTTCAAACCATACTGCATGAGCCCACAAATCAGATATAGTTTTACCTTGGCCTCACAAGAGCCCCTTCAACCCCAAGGAAGATCACTCAACACAAGGGCTCTTATTTCATACCAGAAATAAGTATGGCTCCCTAGTTGAGAAAGTCAGGACTCTTATCAAAATTACAAAGGAAAAAATGTGATGTTATGATATTAGGAATTAAAGTACTTGAAATGAAAACAATGATTTATTTCATTTCTGTACTTCTATAATGCCATGAACTCAATAGATATCAGAGTTCTATTTTAGAGACAGATTTCTGTAGTGCAATAGAATTAATGTGGAATTTTACAACCTGTACATCACTAAGTAACACTATTATCATCATGAGCAGTGCTACCTGCAGAAAATAAAACTGCTTATCTATTTAAGTGCTTGAAGTCCCATGGAGTGCTCATTCATTTTTCACTCTAGGGCAAGACTCAGTTCCTTTAGGTATAGCTCTGAAAAACATAAATGACAACTGCTGTGAATAGTTTTTGAATTTATAAGATTAGGGCTATGAAAAATGTCATTACAAATTAAACTAACATTTGTTACCAAGTAATACATTTATTTGAAAGGACATCAGTTACCAGTCATCAAAAGCTTTTGTATGTTGAAAATGTAATTTTAATAGATAATTCTTCATCTTACATAGGAGCACAATAAAATACACCACATTCTGAAGAAACTCCAGAAGTTATGAGAGTAAGAGTAGGGAAAAGTCAGATGGGCTACAATATCCATTACCTTAAACTGCAAGAGACAAAGGTTCAACCTGCATGTTAACATTTACATACTTAAGACAGGCTACATTTTTTTACTCAAAAATAACAAGATCAGGAATCAGATATGGAAGAGCATGGAAGAGAACCGTTTTGTAGGGCAATGTCAATGAAAAAATTCTAAATATCAAATTAAAGGATAAAAGGAGCTCCCACAGCAAATACTGGAGGGATGAAAGCAAGAATCATGAACAGAGGATCTGATGCTTTCAAAGGAAGAAATCTTTCTGGTGACACTTATGCAAGCTGGTTGCTCAAGATCTGCTAATCAGACTAAATGTGTCTCAGCAAATTCCAGATGATTATCAGATCAGTGTTTCCTAATAACACACACCCATGGTCTTACATAAAGTTTTCAGACAAGAACGGAGAAAAATGTCATAACCCAAATGTGGCACAACATGTGGAAGTCCTATACATCGGTCAAAACAGCTTCTTTGCTGTGACTCTCCTGATACAGCAATTTTCAAATATTGTGGTAAGACACCAATGATCATCTAACTAGTAACATAACATAAGCACATTTATTTTAAATTTCTCAGAGGAAAAAAATGTCAGATACTGATGCTTTATGCATGCTCAAGGCCAGTTTATAAATACTCCATTCAGTAATATTGTATTAGTGAAAAGACACTGGCAAAATCCCCCTCTTACCATTCATTCAATCAGTCAGATGGTGAAGACCAAACAGAATGTTCTATCAGAGTTTTAACTTTTAAATACGATTGTCACATTAAGAAAGTGAAATAAACACAGTAAAATAAACTGTACAAAGGCAAAGTAGAATAACAAAAAATATTTTACTAAAACATAAGATTTACAGAAGTTTCCAGACAAGCCATACAAAATGGTCACAAGCTTTTTCTTGAAGGGAGGATTCTACACTTGACAGCAAAGTCACAATGTTATTAGTGAGGGCTGTGATGTTTGTTTAATGTTCCCATTTTGGTTCAAACAATCAAGCTTGTCCATCTACAGCGTCTAAATAAAGTTAGACTTGGCTAGTGAGTATATTCTAAAGAACAACTGGTTAGCTGCTTTTAACCAATGCAATTAGATCACCATAAAAAGGGGAAAAGGAGACCATAAATTTAAAATTTTAAAATAAAACTACCTCCCCTTTTCAAAAAAAAAAAAAAGGAAAGAAAAACACCCCAAACCCCTGCAGCTAAACCTGACAACTACCTTCATTCACAGTGCTTTATACTTAAACCATGATGGGGGAGAATGAATAAAAGCAGAGAGGGGCCACTGCTTTTAAACGTTTTGCAACAATCCAGATGATACTTCTAGCCTCTGCTCATGCTTTACAACAGTGAATCAGGACAAGACAGATTTGCTAATGTGCATTTAATCACCAAAGGACTGAAGATGTTTGGGCTTTTATTCTGTAATGTTTCTAAGACTGTGTCCATTAAATGCAAACAAAAAGGAAGAAGTCTTGGCAGAACAGGAGAAGTGATGCACACTTGATGACCAGATCAATTTAAATATTATTCATGGCATATAGCCTAGTCCATGCTCTAGCTGTAGACAAAAACAAACATGCAATTATTATTTCACTTAGTTCAATGTTACTTTCCAAATGCTATAAAGAGCAAACAAACACAATTTAATTATGGAAATGTCATGCTGTAATTTCTTAAACATGATTATTCTCTATCAAGTGGACCACGACTGAAAAAATTCCCGTATGTCTGAGAACCAAAAATCCACAATAAAATTCAGACATTCTACAAAATTCAACAGGATGAAGAGCTGTCCCTTCATTTCTGCATACATAACACTCCCCACCAATTTTGTTAAAATCTGTAGCAGGAAAGAAGCTTGCTGACTCTAAACTCTCTACTTATAAACTAATGCATATTTAATCAAATGGATCTTAAAAATTACAAAAAAAAGCACAAAAGAGTTCAAAAGTTTTCAAGTATCTTTACATATTGCTTGACAAATGGTGGACACTCAGTAAAGCACCTATTAATCAGGTGTAGTTACACAAGTCCAGAAGATCTAACCAGAGGTTGTCTAAATTTGGGAGTCATGTAGCAGGCCAGCAGATGGAGCTTAAACATCTTTTGTAAGAGGAAGTTATACACTATAAACAAG